CCCCCACCGGCTAGGGCGGCTGTTCGGTAATTCTAGCTTCTCCACCAGCATCCCCGCTGTTCCAGTGTCCCCATACAGCTTCCATTTATTATGGCTCCCACACCTCAGCTGGGCTTTTCAGGTCTCTACAGGCAGCTGTTAGACGCCCTTCAACCTGGGGTGGGGGGCCCTACCTTCCCCCCACCTTTGTGCCTGAGGCCACACTGACTGTGAGCCAGCCATCTCAACTCATGAGCCTTGGGGCGGGCTAGGCAAGGCGAGCGAAGGCCGAAGGAGTCACAGGATTAGAATCTGGCTCTAACTGTCTCGTAGCCACTATTCAAGTGGGCGGCTACAAGTCGGTGCTAGGCACCACAGCCGCTCCTCTCGCGGCCGGAAAGTCTCCGAGAGGGCGCGCACCTGCCGACTCCACGGGCACCACGTGCAGTTTGATCATGCTGCCTATGGAGGTTGGCCGCGTCTCCACGAAGTTCAGCACCTGGAGGTTTCTGTCTCTAGCCAGCTCCAGAAAGTCATCGTGTAGTGCTTTGAGTGCAGGAGAATCTGTAAAATGATCGAAAACAGGGCTGTGACCAACTGTGTTGACCCGACTCAGATGCGGAGAAGTCGCAGATCTGATTCGAGAAGGCGGCTTGTCACTGCCCTCCTCGGAGGCGTCAGGATGCGGGCAGAGGTTCACAGGGATACACAGCTCACTGGCAATGTGGAGTGATGCTTAGAGCAACTTAGCAAATACCTTTGAGGATAATACTAAATCAGCGCCACATCTGAGCAAAGGCTCGCTGGTCAAACGGGGGTACCACAGCAAAACCAAGCCCAAACTAAAAATGTGCCCCGATAGTCTAGCGAATTCTCACGCAAACGATGATCCAATCCAGTTCGGTTCCCTCCCCCCGGGGGACTCTGCCAGGTAACCCCCCCGCATGAAGAAAGTGAGCAGTTACCCTTGCTGAGTTCTTTGACTTCCAAAGAGGGAAAGAGAAGATAGCGAGCGTTAACAGAGTACTCGGCCAGGTGGGAGCCGTGGTGCGGGACACTGTAAAAAATGATGCCGCGGGTGTTATTTACAACGGCATTCATTTCTGGCTTCTTAGAGGCTTCCAGCAGCATCTTTTTGACAAGAAGACCTGCCACAGAGAAGAAGAAAACACATAGCCAAGCTTCTTCCCTTCCCGCCACCATCTGAAACAGGCGAGACAGGAACTGAGGAAGGGACAGACGCCCTGTGGAGATGCTTAAACCTAATTCTCTGTGGACTAGTAAGCAGGGGAGTCCTCCCGCCGCTCCAGAATGCGCAGTGCGCGCAGCCGCAGAGGCCGCCGGCACTGTGGCCAAAGCAGACCTCCTCACGGCTCCTGTCCCGCGCGGCCACCCCCAGCTAAAAGCAGGTCGAGCTGCTCCCGCCCACAGGCGGCGTCGGAAGCCGGCGGCGCCTGCCCCACGCAGCACCCAGCTTCCTGGAGAAGGACCTGACGGCGCCTTCGGCCCCTGCCCCCGCCCCTGGGCTGGCCCAAGGGGAACAAAGCTCACAGAGACGCCACGGAATCTCCGAGGCGCCGAGCTGTGTCCACCATTTTGTCTCCGCAAATTGCCCGACTCCAGCCGGCAACCTGGGTCTCATCGGCTCAGCCAGGCCCCGGCCGGATGGCCCGCGGAGGGGCCGGGGGGGCGGCGTGTCGCTCAGCAAAGCGGCATGTGGACGCCAGGGCCACTCCACCTCAGCAGGCTCCTGGCCCCTCCGCCCCCACCACACACACACTGGAGTGAAATGGACCCTCGGCGGGGCCAGGGAAGAGCAGCCAGGATGCTGAGGGATCTTTACAAGCCGGGCTAAGGTAAGCCGTTTGCTCGCTACCACCCTGGAAAGCACGAGGCCACCGCTCGCCCTTCCCGGGCCCGTTAGGAGTCGTCCCCTTCTGGAGACGCATGGAAGGAGACTAGTCATGTTTAACTGCTCGCTGTCAAACACATCAAGAGGGCAAAGTAAACCAGCTCCAGCGGCTTCGGGGGCCCAGCGCGGGGGACGAACTCGGGCGGCGCTGGCAGAAATGGAGACTTACCCCCCATGCTGTGGGACACCCAGACCACGGGGCGGTCCCCGACGCCGGCGGCTCTGAGCTTCCCCAGAAGTTCGTTGCTCCTGTATGCAATAGACTTCCTGGGCGCAATGAGGAGAGCAGGTGTGAGGGGCAGGTGTGAGGGAGGCGCCGGCCACCCCCACCCACACCCCGCCCTAACCCTTCCGGCAAGGAAAGGGCGCTGCAGTGTGCACGACCCTCGGGGGAGGGCCCCCGACACCACCCAGCTGGACCCCTCCTCTGGCCGTAATCCACATAATGAGGAACAGCCCCGCCCAGAGGAGCCTTCCATTTACTGACAGACTTCGCTGGAGCATTTAATCTGGGCTGGCAGTTTCCCTAGGCCCAGCTGGGCTCACACCAAGTGCCCCGACAGCGCGCATGGGACTCAGGTCCTCGCTCTCGCAGGGCCTGGAATGGAGACCAGGCTTATGTGACGTCAGCTGTCACGGCTGCGCAGTTCTAGCGCATTTATGCCATCAGCACTAACTTTCATCACTTTAGTTTGTTCTGTGGAAATACTAGAAACCTGCTACCATCAGAATTCAAGTAACTATGCTGAGAGGGAACTCCAGAACCATCTCCTCTGTAGTTTCAAACTGTTTAGCTGTACAATCTTCCTTCAAGATAAAGGCCAGTCAGAGCACGGCCAACGGCAGGGGGCTGGCAGGAGGTGGTGCCCTGGTGCCCCGGCTCCCCGGCCCGCAGCCCGTCCACAGCACTCATTAGCGCGCCCCGCTGCCGGCCTCCCCAGGCAGCCAGGGGACTGCGGTGGATGGACGGGGTGGCCAGGAGCGCCAGCTGCCGCCTGGGTCACGGCCCCGGAAGGCCAGTGTCCTGTATCCCGCCTAGAGGCTGTGGCGGGACCACAAACACCAGGGGCTCCCTCTGTCCCGCCGGGGCGATGCTGGGGTCGCCGGGTCCCACCGGGACCACAGCGAATGGAGCTCACCAGGGGCCCAACTCGGGCACTCCGTGCCTTACAGCAGCCACTCCTGAAGCAAGGAGAAACGCCAGTCCGCTTCCCTAAGAAAATCCTGTTTGTGGCGCCCAAAGTCCCTCCCTCCCGGGGCCCGCTGTGCCTGGGCCCTGCCCCCCTCCCAGCCCGAGCCCCCGTCACCTCTCCATGGGGCACCTCGCTCTCCAGTCACTCAGGCTGGTGTCATACTCCACAGAGATAATTCGGAGAGCGGGACAGTCTCTTGCCAGCCACGTCTACGTGGAACAGAGGCACAAAAGAACACGTGAATCTCCGGCACTGCAACTATGTCAAGTAATGGAAAGTCGTCACAAGGGCCTCTTGCGACAGTGGACGACTGGGGAAGCATCGCACTGGGGTGAAGTGTGGAGACACCAGGAAAACCCCTTCAGCCCTGCATCCGATTTCCTCTCCGGTCACTAGGAGGATCGGCATTTATGGCGTGAGGCCAGCGTGGGTTTCGGAGAATAGTTGGTCTCCGCTAGAGCTCAACGCAAGGCCTACTCGGGGCGACGATCAAATTGGGCTTTTGAAAGCATTTATGGCAAGCTCCGCCCTCAGGCCGGACAGCACAGTCCAGCAGTCGGCCTGAGGCTCAGGCACTAGCGCAGTCTCAGTTCTGTCCCTGCAGACCGGGGTCAGCTGTCGTCCCCATACTTCGCTGTCACCAGAGAGAAAGCACAGGACGCTCCTGCTGCTCCCGAGCCTTCATGCAGGTGACTGAGCAGCAGGCGACCAAGACCTGAAACTATTCACACACATCAGCAGCCTCTGCTCTCACTGACCTGAGGCAAGCCCCACGCAAGGGCTTCATCCCAGAGTTTAGGCTCTTGAGAAGAGAAGATGCCCAGGGGCTTTCGGTTTCTATCGTCATTAAATCAGCAACTACTAGGAATGCGATGCATTGTTTGGTGCATTGTATCTTTAACGGAAGTGAACGACTGGCCCTGCTCCTGTTTATATTTCCTGCAATATTCTTTCAGAATCTGGACCCGCGCCCTGTGCGAAGGCTACACAGCCCCGGGTGGCGAGCCCGCTGTCCATGAAACACCCAGGTGTCCTGAGAGACGGGAACACTGAACGGGAAAGGCCAATCTCGGCCCAGAGAGAAAAACAAGCAGGTCCCAGTGAGGCTCCACCTGCCAGGCTGCGTGCGGGGCCGGGGCCTGCCGGAGCCGGCTGCTCACCTTGGGCCAACACGTCGTGTACCTGGCTTCATCCTCCGGAATCTTCTCAAGTAAAGTTCGTTCATTGTCCTGCTGGCGCCACGTTTTAAACGCTGCCCCCATGAGGCCATGAATAAAAAGGACATCTGCTTTAATGGGCTGGCTAGTAGGCAGAGAGTTCAGAAAAAGAAGCAGAATAAATGCGTTATTGCTCTGGTAAGAATCTGCACAGCATCCTAGGGCCGGCGCTGGGCAGGCTTAGCTGACCTAAAGCAGCACTTGACTAAGGCAGGTCTGACCGGCGCTGCTTGGCTGAGGAGCCTATCGGGAGCCGCACACCACGTCACAGCATGCGCGCTGCTCTCTCGACAAAGACGCGTCGCCAGCAGGGCCGACTGCGTGAAGGGTAACGCGCGCCACGGTGGTGGCGTGACCGAAGGCAGGGCCACCCCCAACGAGTCCATGGGAATGTTCCCCAGATCCATACAGTACTGCAGAACTTAAATAAGAACGCGTGAATGGTTTCCAAGTCTATAGGCACTAAAGGGACTCCACAATTTATCAAGGGAAAAGGTAAGTAATACAGATGAGACTTAAAAGAAAACATATCTAAACATATGACCGTATTAATTTATTTACAAATTTCATTAATTTAGGAAATTCATGTCTCAGACTTGAAGGGTTTGCTATTTTCTGAGATACATTTTAAAGTCTCTAAGAAAAATCCAAACACTCAAATACTTTCATTGGGATCCTTTTTATATTTACTTTATCGGTAATGAAAACAACAATAAGAAGCACGAGTCAAATTTATCACAATTTAGGATCTGAGTCAACAGCAAGAAAAACAAATATAAACAAGAGGAAACAGCAAAGCAAACATTTCTGCAGAGTGAAGGGAGTCATCGATGTGAAAAGCCACCTACCGAGTGGAAGCAGGTACCTGCAAGCCAAGCACCCCAAAAGGGGTAATGCACAAAATATGGAAAGAACTCATACAGCTCAGCAACACATCTGATTTTAAGATGCTAGTGATCGGAACATTCTCTGAGAAGACCAGCGGCCGTGGGAAGACGCTCAGTGGCTCCGAAAATGCACGAGAAAATGAGACCCCAGCTCAGGCCTCGCGAGCGGCTCCTGTCTGAAACGCAGGCGAGGAGGACGGGGAGCCCTGTACTGTCAGGGTATGAGCTGCTGCAGCTATGGGTAAAAGGGCCTGAGGGGCCTCAGAAGTTAAGAGAAATGGCATGTGATACAGCAGTCCCACTTTTGAGCACTATCCAAATAGGAAAACATTAATTCAAAAAGATAGTGTGCTCCTTTTTCATTGCAGTGCTGTTTACAACCTGTGTGCCCACTGAGGGATGAATGGATGAAGAAGAGGAGGTAAGTACATGTTGTTATACACATATACATCTGCACACGCAATGGAATACTACCTAGTCATAAAAAAGATTCTACCTTGCCATTTGCATCCAACATTGGATGGACCTTGAGGGCTTATATGCTAAGTGGAATAATTTAAAGAAGACAAAGACTACATGATCACATTCATATGTGAATTTTTTTTTTAATGAAAAGGCCCAAAAACTCATACAACAGGTTGGTAGCACCAGAGGGGAAGTAGGGTTATGTTGGGGGAGCAAATGGTTAATGGGGATCAGCTATATGGTGACAGATGGAAACTAGACTTCCGGCTGGAAACATGCTATGGTGTATAAAGTTGTCTGGTTCTAGGGGTGCACACCAGTACTACCGCAATAAAAATCTCTCCACGACTTTTTCCCCAGTGCACTGAGTCCCTTGGGTTTCTAGGCCCAGGCTCATTCAGTTGCCTCCAGAAGATAACGCCCAGCTCCTTCCTGCTGCACAGACCGCTGGCACACTGTCAGGTCCACATGAGAAACGCAGTGATCAAGAAACACTCCCACAAAGCCTAAGTGGGACATGATATGAGAGTGAACAAAATCCCCGAGAAGGGTAAGTCTCCGATGTAAATGGCCTGACTAATGAACTCGTTGCCACCGTCACAAGGTGCTTCCACCCTTCCGAGGTTAGCACAGACAAGCAGTTCGGTAAAGAGGGCTCTTGGCGTCTTTGTAAGGTTTGTCGCTAACGTGAGGGTGCGGAAATGAGGCCAAATGTTAGCCCTGTCGGCCCCCACCCCCGAAGGCCCTCCTGTACGCTCACCTGGTGCGGTGCTGGGGGTGCAGCACGTACACGCCGTCGGGGTACTTCTCTCGCACCGTCTCGCGGTCCAGGTTAGCCAGGGTTCTGGCGGCGTGCGAGGCCTCCATAATTTGGGGAGATTTCATGGCTTCTGCCAGTATGGAGACCCAGCCTGGTGAAAAGCACGCACCTAAATAGCAACTCTAACCCACCTGATGGGCGAGTGGCTCCAGACTGAAAATGACAGGGCCGGGGTGCCCAGCCTGTCTGCCTACTCCGGAAAGCCCAGGCACCCCGGACCCACCCTGCCCCGGGCGAACTGGTCCCGGCACAGCGCCATGATGTCCCAGCAGGCCCCTCGGGTTGGAGGGAAGGTTGGGGTATTCAAGAGCCGTTTTCTCTAAATAGTCTGATAAACTTTGCAGTTACTAGAAATTAGGTCTCAACAGGTCACAAAATAAGATAATTTGCTTTAAGCAAGAATTATTAAACTCTGCTTTAAAACTCTATGTCATCTGACAGGTAATCACATTAACAGCTTGTAAAACACACAGGAATTCTTTCCGAACAATGAGCTTGCTGTAGAGACAGAATTCTTCTTTTGAAAAACCTGAGGTTCTGGAAAGAAAACTATTTTTTAAAGGAAGGTGGAGTATGAGCGCAGTAGGAGTCTATTTTTGTTGTTATTTAAAACTCAAGGAAGTAGAGCAAATATTACTGAAATTTGTGTGAAACCACAAAAGATCCTAAACAGCAAAGGCACCCTGGGGCCCAGCTAGCAGCCACTGTAGCACAAGTGTGATTCCCAGCTAGGGAGCTGACCCCATGGACACGGCCCTCTCCTGGCCCACCCACTGCTGCCCGCTTCTCCACTCTGTCTCTGGTGATTCTCTCACCACCACCCCCACACACTGGCCTATACCCCAGTTCTTGTATGCATAAGTCTTTTTAAAAAAAAAAAGAAAGAAAGAAAGGAATGGAGGTACTACACTCCCAGACCTCAAATTATATTACAAAGCAACAGTATCAAAACAGGATGGGTAGTTGATTTACATTTAATAAAGGAGCCAAGAAGATACAGTGGAGAAGTCTCTTCAACAAATGGTGCTGGGAAAACTGGAAAGCCACATCAAAAGAATGAAACTAGACCACCTGCTCACACCACACACAAAAATTAACTCAAAATGGATTAAACCTAAAGCCGTAAAACACACAGAAGAAAACATAGGCAAAGCATCCCATGACACTGGCTCCTAATTGTCTTTGGGAACTTGACTCGGAACAGCAGAGAAACAAAAGCAAAAATAAACAAATGGGACTACCTCCACTAAAAAGCTTCCGCACGGTGAAAGAAGCTAGCATAAGATAAAAAGACGCGCTGCTGGGTGGAAGGAGGTACTTGGACGTGGCTAACACCCCAGTCTGTGACGAGCACATACAACTCAACAAGGTGAAAACAGCCCACCCAAAAAGCAGGCAGAGGCGCTAACACAGCTCCCAAGGAGACGGACAGAGGCCGTCGGGCACAGGAGAAAGCGCTCACAGCCCCTACCAGGGAGAAGCCAGCCCCAGTGAGATCCACTCCTGCCCCCAGCATAAGGGCCACACACCACACACACACACACACACACACACACATGCTGACAAAGATGAGCGGGGAAGGCACCCTCATCTGCCGTTAGTGGCACGCAGACTGGCAGCGCCTGGGGAAAGCAGTCTGGAGGTGTCTACAACATGCAAACAGACCCCGCATCTGACCCAGCACCCCCACTCCTCGGCACCTGCCTACAGAATACAAACCTGAACCCGAAGGGATGTCTGCACCCACGCTCACTGCAGCGCCACTTACAGCAGCCCAGCTGTGGACACAGCCCAAGAGCTCAAGGAAGCGAGAAGGATGAGAAGATAGGGCGGAGAGCACCATGGAGTACCACTCAGCCATTAAAAAGGGTGAGCTCTTGCCATTTGCAGCAATATGCTCATGACCAGAGGGGCTGATGAGCAGAAGGGAAAAGACACACAGACGATTTCACTCATACTGGAAGGTAAAGACACAAAGGGAAATTGCAGACCAAATGCACTCTAGAAGTCTGACTGCAAAACTATTGGACAAAACGGGGAAGGGGAGCCCCACAGGGAGGCCAGGACCCAGTGGACTATGGAAGAGGATTACTGGGTTTTGCCAGTGGTATAGCATGGTAATATACAGTCACAGTAGAGGTGTGAACCTAACCCCTAAACCACACAGGGTTATAAACCAATAAACATAATTTTAAAAATTATGTGGCCAGAAGATTCTGGTGGAGAAAACCAGTCACAGGGAATAAAAGCTTGAATGAGAGGAGGGCCAGAGCCAAGATGCTGCTCTGTTTAGGCGGAGTAGAGCCAGGCATGGCTGGGAAGCAGAAGGCCAGCCAGGGGCGGGGGAGGCCAGTGGAAATGAGAAGGCAGGCTGGGCTGGAGAGGCAAGGTGTTCAGGGGGCTTTGGCAGCACTGAAATCACCCAGCGGGGCCGGTTTCAGTTAAGGGGAGGGTGAAATTTTTTAACATAAAATACTAACCTGACCAGTCTCTGTCCTGCTTTGAATTCTTTAGTCTCTATCCAATCAGTGGACTTGAAAACAGGGAAACAGAAACCACGCAAAACAAAGTGCACAGAGCAGAAACATACAGCTCATGGAATTAAAAAAAAAAAAAAGCAAGCTGTACTGTCTACATTACGGAAGTCTCGGGAAAGAGAGCCCGAAAGGGACACAGGAAAACATGTGAAGACAGAGGACTTCCCAACCGGGTGGAAGCATGAACCCGCACGTCCAGTCAGCTTGGGCCCTGAGCAGGTCTTTAAGGGACCTGTAGGCAGTTGACAGTCTGGTTGCGTAAAACCAAACAGAAAGATCTTAAAAGAAGCCAGAAAGGTACACTCCCTGCTGAGAACAAGCGTGGGGAAGAGACGTCCCAAAAGACCAGTCTTCAGGGGGAGATGACTTCTTTACAGTGCCCATGGAAAGAATAACAGAATTACTTATCCACAGAAAACAAATCTTTCCCTGGATAATAAAAGGGGGAGGAGAAACATTCTCAGAAAATAAAACGTGGCAGCATCTTACCAGCAGACCCAGGCCTTTGAGTAGGCGGGAAATGATTTCACATGCAAATTTGACATACAGAAAAGAAAGAAGCGCAATGGACATTATAAATATGTAAAAAACATTTATCTTCTCCAAACCTGCCCTGAGTGTAGAAGAGCAACAGGACATCGCAGCCCGTGACGCGGGGAGGCGGCAGCCGAGGCCAGGGCACAGCGGGCCGCCGGCAGAGAGCCTCACGCTGCCGCCGAAGGGCCCGCGGGCGCGAACTCAGGCGCGCAGAGCGGCCGGGGGGAGCGCGGGGAGCGCGTCACAGACCGCCCCCCGCCCTAGGCCACGACGCCCCGAGGACCCCGGCCGGGCCACCGCGCGGGAAGTCGGTACCTGAGCACACGATGGGGGCGTGGAGCCGCTCGTTCAGCGCCATGTTCCCGACCACGCGCAGAATGTCCCTCTGCACGCTGGGGCAGTCCCTGTGGAGCCTGTACAGCCGCTGGAGCAGCTGCAGGCCGCCGCCCGCTTCGATCTGGTCACAGTGCGAGGCGATCTACACGACAGACAGCGGAAGCTCACCGGGCCGCAGAGCCACGCGCGTCACGGGGCCTTCGCGCGGCCTCTGCCCCCGAGGTGAATGAGCCAAGCCCACCTCCTGCCCGTCCCCAGAATCAGGGCGGGCAAGGCTACCGGACTTGGGAAGTTTCTGTTCTTTACCTTACCGTGCCTCTCTTGGCTGGCTACAGCCCGGTAATGTCACTATTACAGCATCGTTGCCGTGATGCTTTGACTTTGATGCTTGAGAAACCTTACAGTAGCCTGCCCAAGTCTGCCCCTGACGGTGGAACAGCCCCGGGCTGCTTTGGGGAGAGCTGCCGGCGGGGAGCACGCCCCCACAGCCACTGCTCAGGTCTGCAGCTGCCGGGCTGTCAGAAAACTCAGGAGGCAAAAAATTTTTAAAGGGAAAAAAAGTTGGGGCTGAGTTTCTAATAGAGAAAAGGAGAGGGAGGAACACCCAGGGAAACTCGGGGTGCCAGTGTGGGAGTTGGGTGGCAGCGACTCATTCTGCTCGGCCGGTCACCACAGGCCCTTGTCCTGTCACCTGCCACTCTGACTTGAGTGATGGCCTGTGTATACGACAGGCTTTAGTCTGAATTTTCATGAAATGTCACACTTTAAATACAGTAAAAAGACACAGCAAGTGAGGCTAAAACTTGAGACCCGAGAAGAATGGGGAGACGACTTCCACTCACTGTACTTTGTACTGGATACAACTACTGTGCAGAAACTAGTGGTAAGTCACATAAACCCAAGCTAGTTTCTCAACTGCAACACTTGGCTGACTCTGCTAGTGCACAACCCCTAATTCCACTGCAGGAAGGCACTAAAGTTGGCAAGAAAGCGCCTCGCTTCTCAGGCAAGACCAGCGGCCCCCGAAATCCAGCTGGAGAACACGGGCGCTCTGCAGGCCAGCGCTGATCGATGCATCAGCCCCAGAGGAAGCCTGTTAAAAACGCAAACTCCTAGACTCCTGGCTAGGAGCAAGCGGAAATATGCATTTTTAATACACTTTCTGGTTGGCTGATGCCTTGATGCTTGAGGCGCTTTTCTCTTTTAAAGCAAACTGTGCTCATGACTGGAAAGTTGTCACAATGCCAGAAAGCTTCAAAATCACTGATAGTGGCTATAACTAAAAGCCAAGAATCACCTAAACATTTCCTTCTTTTCTCTATCTTTGCCATATCTAGGCACTTTAACTGGCACTTGCTACCTGACTTCACTTGCTAAGTGATCGGGATGTAGACCACAGCATAACCGACAGGTAAGTGCAGACCTGCACAGCAGACTGCTTTCTTTATGTGCGACCGAGGGTAAGTCTGTTTTTAAAAATCCTGAGCAAAGGGAAATTCATGCACTGTTGCTAAATCATGATATCAATGTTAACAATTAAATGGGCAGGAGCAGAAATTCTTAAACTAGCAGAAAGCTTTTTTTTTCCTACAATAAATGAGAATTATTTCTTTGAATAATAATTGAGGATTAGCTTCCTGGTCTATAACTCTTTTGATGCAATCATAGGGAAAAAAACATAAGGATGTAAGTTACCTCAGAATGTTTCACTAAAGCTTCTAAACAGAACATTTCCACTGTGACTGAAGGAACTTCTCCAAAACTTTCGGCATAAGGAAGTCCATTTCCTCCAAAACACCATAAGCCGCCCTAAAAGACAATTAAAATTTTTACTGAAAAAGTGAATTTGTTTAACAGAAAAAAATTCTCTGGTGTAGGAATCAGCATTAGAAAGGATTAATACATGACCCTCAAAATGTTTTGGAAACTTATAGGCTGGTTCAGTTTATAGCAGCCACTGCTTACAAGGATAGAAAACATGGACTTCGGCCCAGAAGAGAGTGATCTCTGAGTCTCAATCTATTCCTCGGTCTCTTTGCTGTTTCCTCTAATCCGAAGCACGAAGACAACGCAGTTTCTTTATCAAGAAAAGTCTGAGATTGGCCACAATACTTTAGTTTGCTATTACTTTCCAAATTATGCTAATAGAGTCTACTTAAAGTTTATCAATCAAAATAATACAAAAGAAAAAGGCCTTATTAGAAAACTTTTTAATTGATTGGTCATGATCATAGAGCTTTCCAATTCTTCCGATGCTGAAATTTAAGTTCATCTGGAAAAACAACAAGAGGAGTGAAAACTTCCTAATGGCTGTCAAAACATAAGAATAAACTTCAACTTTTAGCACAGATCGAGCACTAACGTCACCTGGGTGCCGAGATCACCCACAAGTCAGTGATGCAAACCCCCAGCAGTGCTTTGGCCAAATGCGCAACAGTCATAAACAGAAAGTTCTGAGGACAAGAAACAGAACACGGCCACAGCACAGAAGCCCTCGCCCGCACTGCTCATGCCCAGAAACCACACAAAGGGACACAGCTCACGGCTCAGACAGGCGGGAGACAGGTCTTGTCATCGCTGGCCACGGGCACCATCAACAAGGCGACTTCTGTGGAGCACAACCAGCGGCCGCCCTCAGAGCCGCAGACCCCGCGCCCTGCAGCCCCCGACCTCCAACCAGGCGGCCTCGGGAGCCGGGGTGGGCGGCATCTTCCACCCGTTTGAGGTAGCATTGTTGGTAAGAACAGAAAGTAGGAGACCACGCCGTGCCCACCCGTCGGGAAAGGCGGAATGAAGATGTGCCAGGACGCGTGCAAGGCCTGCGCCCCGGTAGGCTGACAGCGCGCCCAGACCAGCCTGGGGCCAGAGGAGCGCGCACGGTGTGCCGGCCTGCAGGGAGTGCGTGGGCGAGGGGAGGCCGAACGTGCAAGGAAGGCCCACTGCTGGTCTCCTGGGCTTTGGACTCGAGCACGGGCTACCTGCGGCACACGAGGACGGCCACAGGCCGTTTCTGAAATAGGCATGCGCACACAGCTGAGGCGCCGTGTTTTCTACAGCGAAAACGACTCATGGTTTCTGCTTTTCGAGTGATTGCATACGCCCACCATTCAGTGAACCTAGTAAATGTTCACGATGTTTGGCCACTCTAGAATTCTTCATGTCTCCTCTGATACAACCTATTTTTCCAGGTTTGAAGACGCTCAGATGACAACATGCACCTGAAGGGGTGTCAGTCCCCCTGAGTCATACACAGTATTGTAAACCGATGCCGCAGTAAAGCCAGTAAGGTTCAGATGCGCACTACGGATCACAGCAGAGTGCCAGGAGCTGCACTGACAGCCTTCCTCCCCCAGCAGGGCTGAGGGTAGCCGGGCCTGGGAGGCTGGGGCGGGAGGGCACTCTCCTTAAAGATCCATCACTACAACCCGCCTCTCCCACACCCTCCCCACCTCTGCGGGGCATGGAGAAGCTGGGATGAAGGGGCGAGGGCCATCAGCGGCGACCTGAGGCACTGACCACCTAACCTGGTGGTGCACAGCATGGTTGTGCCAGGAAGAGACCACCCAAGTCAGACTAGACCTGCTGAAACAGCCTGTTGCCCTGGCTCCCGGATGAAAGCATGAGAGCCGAAGGGAAGGCCCCAGGGTCTCCCAGGTGTGACATCAGCTGCACAAGCGACAACGAAAACACACACACAGACTGAGCTTCAGCAAAATGTAAACTACAGAAGACGTTATCAAGTAGAGTGGGTGAAATCTTTACAATTCATATGTCCGACAAGGGATTTGTATCCAAAATAGAGTTCTTACAACTCAACAGTAGAAAAACAATGATACATGGGCAAGGATTTGATTGGGTATTTTTCCAAAGATATAAAATTGCCAGCCAGCATAAAAAGATAACCTGTGTCACTAACCACTAGGAAATGCCAGTCAAAACCAGAATGCACCCCATGCTTGTTGCTGCTTTATTTACAATAGGAAAAACATGGAATCAACCCAAATACCCAAAAGTAGAAGACTGGATTAAAAAGACCTGGTACATATACACAATGGAACATTACTCAGCAATCAAAAAGGTAAACTCACGCCTTTTGCAGCAACATGGATGGAGCTGGAAGGGATTGTGCTTAGTAAAATAAGCCAGAATGAAAAGGAAAAAGAATGGATGGATGGTTTTCACTCATTACAGGAGTATAAAGGACCAGGGGAGAAAATAAAAATAATGAACAACTATATACCATAGATATTTAATGGGGGTGGAGTGGGGAACAGGATCAAAAATGGTATTGGGAGAGAAGTGTACTGGACTATGGTGATGGCACATGGATGATTTGGTGATGAGATGCCCACGGGGATTACAACTGAGATGGAAAAAGGCACAAAATAATGTAAAAATAAACTATTATCAAAAAAAAAAAACACCAATGGGAGACAGGAACAAAAGACCAGCCCTGCCCACGGTTGACAAGTGCTGGCGGCGCTGAAACCCGCCTGCATTCGAGTGGGAATGGAAAATGGCGTGGACGTCATGCACACAGGTTGGAAGGGCCTTGAGAAGTTCACCACGGCGTCGCCACAGAGGCCCGCAGGTCCACTGCTGGAATCCACCCAAGAGAACTACAAATACCCACGCAGGACCCACCCTCGGGTGCTCAGACCATCACTCACAGTCGCCACTGAGTGGAAACCCGGGGTGGCCTGCCGAAGGGCGAGCAAGCCAGATAGCTCACCACGCAAGGAGCGTGGGTAGCCACACAGGGAGGCTGCAACGTGGCCGAGCCTCGACCACATTATTCTTATGTGAAAGGGGTTGGCCACTGAGCACACCCTGCCGGATAAAGCTCATCCCTCGAGGGGTCACGCGCCAACGGGCTCAGGTTTCCATCTTGGCAACACGAGCATCTCCTGGATTTAAACGTGGTGATGGCTGCCCCCTCTGTGAACACATGAGGCCCAGTAAATTCCATGTGTTTACAGGGTGGGTTTTGTGAATTGTGCTGACAGCTCAGTTAAGTCTTGCCCAAAACACCTAGCAACTGGAAATGTCATCATGAAATTAAGGCCTTGTCGAGAAGGTGCTGTTCGGGTCCGTGACTCAGGAGCCTGGAGCGAGGTTACCTGCTCGGCCTCCAGGAAGGACGCCGCCGCGTGTCCGGGGCTGGGACCCTGACACTGTCTCTGCTAACACCCAGGTGTAGCGCTCATGGGCAGGACAGGAGAATCTTGTCATGAGAAGACGAGGTGCTTTCGCAGCCATCCTGGGGACAATTCAAAGGGATGACAAGGCACCCCAGGAGGGCTTCCCAGCCAGCCAAGAAGCACCAAGAAGAAAATGACGACTATGGGTCTGGAGCAAAGCCAGGCCGGACCCAACGGGGAATATAAAGATACATGCAGGCGAGCATGTCGCATCATGGACCGGTCCCTCATTTCTCATAAAAAGGTGATAAAACATATAAATCACTCAACTGGGGGAATGTAGAATATGTCTGAAAAAAGTTTACTGAGAAAATACCTTCCCCTCACTGAGTGGGTTACTGTGGAAGTGACGGTCGTCTTGGCTTTTCTCAGAGACAGGAGCGTTTCA